CATTTGCCTTTTCTCTCCATAACTCTTTTGTTCATTCACTGAATACTTCAGCCAAATCCTGTTGAAGGAATGAAATGTGGCTTATGCTGCATGCAGATGTTATAGGAGGTTTGGGTTCCACACCGAAGCTGTCAGAATTTTTTTTTAATAGTTAAAAGAGCAAATTCTGCCATCCTTATGCAGCTCTCATATCTGTATATTCTCCTCTAACCTTTTGTTTGTATATTTATATAAAAAGTTCATAAAAGGTAGCAAAATTTTTTCTTTGGTTCTTTTAACTTTCCAGACTTGGTACAGAGGCTTCATTTTTAATGCCTGGATAATAACCCATCAAATGAATATACCATTGTGGTAGATTGCAAAACTGCTCTAATTCTTTACCTCTCCCTGTTTCTACATTCTTTGCAGTGTGATTTTTGTAGCTCCTCCCATCTGGGGGTGCAGTTTATTTTCCAGCCCCTGGAATACGGGCTGGTCTTGTGACTTGCTGTGGCCGGCAGAAGGCAGCAGAAGTGATGGCGTGCAGATTCCAAGCTGGTGCCTCAAGAAGCCTTGCGTACTTCTGCTTTCCTTCTTGGAACCCTGCAGAACTTCTTGGAACCCATAGACTATCATCATGAGAAAAATCCCAAGCTAGCCTACTAGAGCCTGGGAACCCATGTGGGGGCAGGACCAGAGATCCCAGACATCACAGCTCAGCCTTCCCAGACCAATAGGGTCTTGATTGGCCTGTCAGCTGAGCGCAGTTGCCTGAAGGAGTCCAGCTGAGACCAGAAGAACCCCTCCGCTATAGACTTGTGTGCAGAACAAATGCTTACTGTTTTAAGCTAAACAGTTTTGGAGTGGTTTGTTATACTGCAATAGCCAACCGATACAGCCATAATTCTCTTAACTGTTTCCTTTTTCTTGTTTATGTAGGTGTTTCCTAATTTTCTCTTTTACAAAACAATGTGGCGATGAACACTTTGGTTCAAGTGGAGATTATGTTTCTATGAGGATTTTCATTTTGTTTAAGGAAACTGGTAATTAGATTTTACCTCCTATAACAATTATCAAACTACTATACTATGGAAATTCTGGAATTGTCTATAGAAATGGCATTCTCAAGCAAAGCCTAAGCTTTTATATTGCATAATTGCTTTATCTGTCCATATGCATGCATTTTCCTTATGGAAAACATGGCACAAGGCCCTATCCAGTCTTAAACCAGACAAGTCTCAAAAAACCTCAGAAGCTCATAGAAACTTATGTTTCAGGTAGGCAAACCCTGAACCTATTGACTCCTCTCAGGTGGTTCTATACAATAACCTAGGTTCATTTATTCTACCAGTCCATATTTTCTCCTCCAGAGAAAACATTATCACCCCAAAGTTTGGCTTCCTCCTGAAAATGCCAAATCATTTGCTGAGTAAGCCGTGGCCACTCAGATGGTATATTGGTGGGGGGTCTCTAGCAAGTCATTTGTTTAAATGAAAAGCCATTCCAACTAATGACTGCTTTCTGTAAAGTGAAAATAGCTCAGTGATAATAGCACTAATTGTTTAATATTTCTTCATTGTGTGTATTTACGCCTTGCCCAATAATGGTCTATGTTATGTCAAAAGCCAGTCTGAGAAGATTGCTATTTGAGAAGAGTTGTCTAAGGGAAATACTAGCTGTCAAAGACCTGTCCCTTTACTAGGTTAGATAACCAGAAAGCCATATAGTCACATTATTTATTTTACGTCTCTTGGTTCATCATTATTATTGTTATTATTGGTGCTGTTTTTGAGATCTCTTTAAGAAAAGAAAAGCACGTGAAAGACATTTTTGGAGCTTTGAAAATCTGTTCTTGATGATGTTGTTGTTGTGTTTTTCACCATTTCTTACATAGCAAACCATGTTCTATTTCAAACCGTGGTTCAAACCATGACCATGTTCTATTTAGCTTTCGAAATTGTTTTATAGTACCTCTTCTTTGGTAAACTGTTATGCATCTTTTTATTAGCTATTGAGAATTAAAATCATCCTGTTGCCCTTTTTCTTTGACTAGCAGGAAGCTCAATTGCAGTATGTGTCTTTACCTAGATTGTTCCTACAATGCTTCTCCCTCCGGGGCTTTCTTACTATTTTTATCTTTATTATAATGGTTCTATTATATTTACATACTTGTGCAAGTTCCTTTAAAGACTTTCTGGTCATATTCCTGTCCTATTGTGACTATGTAGGCCTCTGAAAAAGTCTTAGTTGTTCTGATCACTTGCCTTACCAGGAAATTCGAATTGTCATCATGGAATATTAGACCCACTTGGTCCTTCACTCATTTTGCAGAGGAGTAAGTGGAAACTCAGAAAGTCTGCCTACTGGAAGGGTGTTCAGTGTAGAGGTGGCGGAGCCAGCTCTAGGACAGAACCCCTGACTCATGCTCTCTTTGAACTATACTTAGGTCCAGCACTCTTTCACTAAAAGTGTGAAAAGCACCCCCGGTATCATTTCACTCAGCATTAGAGTCTTCATGATTAAGAGAAAGATACTAGACTGTTTTTTTCCGTGTCAGTAGAAGTTGTATTTTCCAAGCTTTTCTGGCATCTACTCCTTCTTACCCAAATCTAAATAAAGTCTGAGAGATTGGTGAGATAATTCTCAGTTTAAGTCCTGAATTTTATAGTGTTCTTATCTACTTGTATAATTTCAGTTTTTTGAGTCACACTCACTAAAAAACCAAGAGGCTGTGTTATCTGCCAGAGACTCTCCCTACCCAGTCATCCTGAGATTCCAGGCTACAATACTTACGGATCCTCCATATGTCCCTGGGGTCACTTGTCACTTTTCAATGAATGGAGAGAGAGTGGGAAAACACCATAAGACCCTGTCTCCCTGTCCCCAAGCAGTTGGAGACTCAGGTTAGGATTATGTGCTACAAGAGTCGTCCATGCTAAAGGGCTCTGTGCACCGCTCTCATCCAGCATGACCCCCGCTCCTATGAGTCCCCACTTTTCTCAGGACCCTTCCTACACAGCCTTGCCCCATGAGACCCAGGGCTATTATTATGAGCCCAAGACCTGCCTGGGTCAGGTACTCAAGTGATGGTGTAAAATTAGATCCAACTTGTAAAACTGGGTCATTTGTATGTGAGCTGTCACTGTATAACAAAATTGCATTTCCCTAAAGAAGTTTTTTTAATGATCAATTCATTTGTCTTTATAAAATCCAAGAAGTTAGCTGAACTAAGGAACTCTGTAATAAGCATCAATAACTAGCTGTACACTGAAAAACTTTCAAATATTTTTTGGAACCTGTTTTTTTCCTCAGAGGAATGCCTAGTGAACCATCTCAAATCAGACAGATATCGAGTGGTTTATTGAAAGCAACTAAAGTCTCGAAATGTTCTCTAAAACAAATTGATTAATCAGTTCCCACATTTTTGCTGCTTCCTGATCAAGGATCCTGCTGTTAATAAAGCTTCTATCTTATTATCACCGCCTTTCCCATTCAACAGGTTTTTCCTTAACGGTCTAAGCAAAGAAAGGGCATGTGTGTAGTCTGGGTAGGAGAGAGTCACAGTCAGGATTTTGTCCCACAGCCATGGGGAAGCTCCAGAATATTGTCTCTGGGGTGATATGCCACCTAAAATCCTGGACAGGAAATTTAAATAATAATAAAAAGAGGATGATATTGTTGGTTAACGTTGATTATAGTCGTACTGTAGGTAGTCAATTAATCTGCCTGTTGCCCTCTTTTTAGACTTAATTATCCTTTTATTTACTAATTCACATAACAAACATTTAGTGAATGACCTTAGATGGCTGTTTGACTAGAGTCATTCATTCATTGATATCTTCTGGAAGATGGGCAGCAACCCATATGTTGGAGATATGGCAGTCAACATAAAAAAATCCCTCTTTCCCGGAAGTTTACATTCCAGTGGGGTAGGGGACAGACAATTAACAAATCTGTGGCATGTCATGGGGTAATAAGTGCCATAAGGAAAAAAGGAAAGTGGGGAAGAGTCATAGCGATAGAAGCAGAGTGGAAATAGTAAAAAATTTATAAAGGTGGTTAGCTGGACTATAAACATAAATGTTTGTTTTGAAATGGTTAAAGTTTTTTTTGCCTTAGAAAAAATTCAGATCATCTAAATCTCCTAAGGCAGCAATTCTGAAACTTGGACCCTCACTTGCCAAAATCCCCTTTGCTATGCCTCAGTACACCTTTAAAGATGGCACCTGGAGAAGGAAAATAAACTAAAGAAGCATAAGCATATGACCCTGGAGGTCACCTTGTCCTTAACTTGTAAAACACCGTTTGCGGCCTGTCTGACGTCAATCAGCAAAGGTTGACAGATGATTCATCTGTGTTCGTACCATTGTTGGTTCCTGTTATTGTTTTTCTTCTCACATGTTAGTTAATCATTTGTCTGAGTTAGGTTAAACACTCACAGGCTTTATTAGGCCTTTTCCTACAGTTTCATCTTGGCCAGACCCTGGGTGGAAATGCAGATGTGGGTCAGGTCTGTATTTGTGATATGAGGCCCCTCTGGTTCTCCTGAGGGCCAGTATACTGGCATGAGAGACCAGAATGAATGAATCCAGTTTGTAAAACAAAATCATAAATAGCCATAGGTTGGAGGACAGAATGTGCCACTCTTTGCACAAGCAAACTCACCTCGGAGGTCCTATTTCTACTCTGAAATTACAGTCAAGTTTAAAATAATTCCATAATGAGCCATTGACCTGAATCCACATCATCAAATAACACGAAAGGGAGGGTAACAAGGATTTAAGGATAAACTCAGGAAGCACAGAGACCAGACTCCACTAGGATTTCAAAAAGCCAGATCTGCTTACAGAACACATTCTAACCCAAAGTTTCTGAGTCAAAAGTCACTTCTAAGATATGCAGACATGAAGGGAATCGCTTAATAAAACTCTCCTACTTCTGAGGCGGGCTGAGGCACAAACAGCAGGAGGCCTTTAGCAAGTCTTGCTTTCTTTTTTTCCCTAAAATATCCTTTTTCTTAGCTTTACAGTGAACAGGAGGCACTCTGGACCTGACTTGCTTCGTCTGGGTTCTTCCTACCCGGCTGGTGAGAAAGCTCTCTGTCCTCAAACACAGAAAGAAGTCGATCTCACTCCCATCAACATGCATGTTTCTGACCCAGCTCCAAACGAAACTTCAGACCAGACTGGACTCTTTCAGAGCCAGGCTGAGCCTAGGCTGGGCCCCGCTTGCAGAAATTGCTAATGACTTGCTGGTAAGCACCCAAGTCCGAGAAGCCTACGAACACTCGAAGCAGGGCTTTGGAACCGAAAAAGAAAGTTCATCTCCTCACCATCTGGCTAGCTTTTATAATCCTTATTGCACTATGATTAATTTTTTATGCTGTAGATTTCTGCTAATTAATTGTAATTACCAAGAACAGGAAATTTCTGCACGGCCAGATCATGTTTACCCAGAATGGCAAAGTTGGAGAACTGTTCTTTAAGAGACGTTCTTGGGATTATTGAATTTTAAAAGCTGGGTGGAGCCTCTGAGGCTGGGTCTCCCACGTAGCTGGTTAGTAGCACAGCGAAGATAAAAACACCAGCTTCCACATCCCTGGTCCAGTCATGTTTGTACCATGCCCTGCTGCCTTGAGAGCTAGTTCACACCAGAAGCAGCCACTCCTCTCTGTTTGGGTGGATTCATCAAATCCAGGATGGAATTTGGTCAAAATGTCTCATTGCATCACCATGTCACTTTGAAACTCCTAGTTCTTCGGACATAGAGTTCTTGTCCATGTGATATGAACCAATAAATTCTCTGGAAAAAAATCAGTCCAAACACTTGGCTGGTATCTTAGAGGGGAAAAAAAAAAAAAGTCTGGGTGATTGAATTTTTAAAATTGAGTTAAGCAACTGTTTTTGCATTCTGTGGACACTCATAGGAACTCTAGACAAACTTGTCCAAAGCTGGGATTGGGATATAGAATTGTACGGAAATTGTGTGGCCGCTCTGTCACAGTGTCATGTGACATATGAATGCTCGATAGTCGTCCTGGGTGACGGGGAAGCTCCAGGTGTTAGTCCAGAGGTTTTTAAATTGTCAAGCCACATTTTCTCTTTTGAACAGCAGAATCGTTTTTTCAAATGAACTATTTATGTGTAATATAATATTATTATAATATATTATTATAATATATTAATATTATTATAATATATTAATATATTATAATATTAATAATACAGTGTAATTTGTGTGTAAAATAGATTAGGACAATATTTTATGTTTAAAATGTTTCCCCTTTCTAAAAATAATAAATGAGAAAAATACAATTGTCTTAATGAACTGACGTTTGCAATGGTGAGTTATAGGAGTCGGTTTTAGTCTTAGAGCGCGGTCAGCACCTGATTCGTTTCTGTGTGTGGATTTACTGGTACCGTAACTTATTCATCTGGTGTATCAAGTGCTCAGCACAGCATCTGGCTTAAGGGAAAGACGAATGCATCAATGACTCTTAGCTGGGAGCTTCATAAAGGTAGGACCTGCATCTTAATTTGCCATTTAATCCACCCTTCCCTGAAATGACGCCTACTGCCATGCCTTTAACAAAGTAGGCATCCAACAAAAATCGACTGGATTAGGAGGTGAGGAGTTTGTACCTGATGAGGTTAACTAATGATGGTCCACTGGAGAGCTCAGGGCAGTGGAGGGTTGTGGCGAAGTCAATGAGTTCGATGGGATGCTTTAGCTGCAATGTCAGGGATGAATTAGAACCAAATGTGTCAGCTTGCTTCATACAGACTCTTCCTCCTTGTGGCGTATTTTAATTCATGACATTCTCTTGTACACGTGGTCACCAGGACACAGACATTTTTCAGCTTCTCCTCTGGCCTTACTCTCCCCCTCTTTCAGCCAGTGACAACCCTTATCATTTTCTGTCCTATGTGGCACTTTTTGCCTCTTCAGACAGCGCCTTAATCAGGTCTTTATCATCTTTCATCTGGACTACTGCAATAACGCTCTAACTCATGTCCCTATCTCAAGAATCTACCTTTTCTAGTTCATGTTGTGCTTTGTTATAAAGTTTGCTTTCTAAAATCCAAATCTGGTCAGTGTACTCACCTGCTTAAAAGCCTTCAATGGCTCCTTAGTGTCTGTAGGTTAAATTTCAAAGCTTCTTTGCAGGGCATTCAAGGCCACGCTCTTCCTCCACCCCCACTCCCCCACCTCACGTGACCCTTAGTTTCCCTGCATAGAGGATAGTTCTGTTTGGGGCCTCTGCTCCTCTGCTTGCATTATTTTTCTGCCTGAAACGCCCTTGCACACTCCGCCTTCTATGTCTGTCTCCCAGTAGACAGCACCCCCCCATCATGGCAGGTACCTTGTATCTTTTTCTCACCATTCTATTTCCAGTGCTCAGTCCATGGTCTAGCACAAAATATGTATTCAATGAATATTTGCTGAATGAATAAAAAATAAAAAGGGTGATAAATATAATTTGCATTGAATTAAAAATCAAATATATTTTCATTACTAGGAGCTGGTCTACTTAGACTGAGATTGCCCAGTTCAGTTCAGGCCCTTACACAGTAGGAAACACAAAGATTGATAAGACATAGTCTCTACAATTTAGAGAGTCAGTCTGAAATAATCGGGGCCGGCAGGAATTGTGGGAAATATCAGAAGAATGGGGCAGACTATTGAGGTAAACTCTGGCAGTGGTCTCCTTACTGGATTCCCTGCCTGTGATTTCTGCCCCCTCCAATCCAACCTGCACATGTTTCTCAGATTCATCTTCTCAAGTGCCCTTTTAGATATGTCAGCTCTCACCTTAAAAACCAAATGTTCTGTGATCTTTGTTACCTTCAGATTGGAGTCCAAACTACTTATTAACTACATATATTCTTCCTAAAGGATCCAGTCTTTGGCTGCTATGACCTGCCCTTGTGGGATTCTGTCTTGCTCCAAGGGGCTTCTTACACACCACCGGCCTGTGTTGGTTCATTCCCGGAAGGATGCTAAAAGCCACGGCAAACCTAAGGCAGCAACCCTGTCCTGGGAGCAGGCATCATCTGTGCTGGTATGTGACACCTTGCTTGTCTGGATCCTACAAGGCAGGTCTCAGTGACCCAGACCGAACTCTGTTCTATCTTATGACCCCCTTGCTGTGCAAATTGCCCCCTTATAGCACACATTCAGGACGCTTCTGCCTGCAGAAGCCTCAGGAAGGTAACTGGGGCTCTCTGTCCGGGCCTCTCCTTGTCCTACAATCAGTACCTGCTATAGATACTTCTCAGCTTAACTCCATGTCTTCTAAAGTCTGCTCCTTCCCTACCCCACAGGGAAGATTCCAGCATTCAGAGCTGTAAGAATCACCCCGGAGCTTATTAAAATGCAGATTTCCGAGCCTCACCTTTGAGAAGTATGCATTTTAGATCAGCCTTCTGGCTGATTTTGGGGATTGGATTCACTGCCTGCACTTTGAGAAACATCTCGAGTGTGGTCACCCACAGTTCTTCTGCATGAAGTCATTCATTCATTCACAAGCACAGGCATTTCTTCTACAGCAGAGCTTTTATAACAAGAATTGCATATAATGGGATAAATTAATTAAGAACAATGGATTACATCTGCTGTTAATAGTTATAAATCACTGTCTTCTAAAACCATCCAGTAATCATACTTCCTTAAGGAAAAAAACGCTGCTCGAGTCCACTCCACACAGCTGCTTGGAGAAGCTCTGTGATTTCTTGGCGCATCGGCGGATGAAAAGAAAATACGAGAAATCTGCCCTTACATGGTAAGAGGAGAAGAAATGCCTCACTTAAACTAGATGGATGGTTGGCTCAATAATGTTTAGTTTTTCAAGTTATGCTCTTATAATTTTTTTAATTCCAAAAAGAAAATAAAACTTCATAATTTCACATCTGAAACTTTGGCCCCTAAGTCCCTAATATGATTTTTGATAACTGAAGATTGATTAGGAACACAATTCTCAAAATACAGAGAAGAAATTGTATTGGTTCATTTAGCCTACTAAGTTCCAAACGCTATGATGGGGACACAATAATACACAATAATACACAGGACTTTCTTCGAGGTATTTATCAGGGTTTAGTGGGTGGTGACATATGATGATCATAATCTCCCAGATTAAAGATTAGGGGCCATGATATCATACATGGTCTTACAAATCTGGATGTGAGATTATTCTTGAAATTCCTGGACGTATGTTCCTCTTTCCACATGAATTCACAGCCTAGCCAGATTGATGTACTCATTGTCCCCAATCTTGCCCCACACCTTTCTGCAGCCTCTCTTTAGCTCATGCACTTGCCCATTCTTGGAATACCCTCCTTCTATTGTTCTACTGCGTAAGCCTAACCTTTATCCAAGATCCAGTTAATGTTCCACCTTCTTTGTGAAGCCAACCTAAACCATCTCCGACCATAATGAACTTCAGAACACCTCCATCCCTTATTGTTTCTACTCTTACTTGGTTTTTAACAGATGCCAAGGCAGCATTACAAACCTTCTTACGCACAGGTCCCTTTTCCTCAATTACAATGCTGCACAGCCCTTTGGAAAGCAGTGGTCAGGCCGTATGTATCTTTGTAGTCACTATATTGAGCCTAGCATCTGACCCTGACGGTGCTCCTTAAATTTGAGACACAAATGAGAACACGAACGTTGTCTTTATTCTTTTTTTTTTTTAAAGATTTTTTTATTTTTTCCTTTTTCTCCCCAAAGCCCCCCAGTACATAGTTGTATATTCTTCGTTGTGGGTCCTTCTAGTTGTGGCATGTGGGACGCTGCCTCAGCATGGTTTGATGAGCAGTGCCATGTCCGCGCCCAGGATTCGAACCAACGAAACACTGTGCTGCTTGCAGCAGAGCGCGCGAACTTAACCACTCGACCACGGGGCCAGCCCCTGTCTTTATTCTTTATTTGTCAAATTTTCTCCGTTCTTGGTCTATTTCATTGCGCAGGCTCTAAATTCTACTTTTGTTTATGACATCTAAAATTTCAATGATAGTTGTTGTCAGGTGCAAAGTTATCTCTGGTGATAACGTCTGTTTAAAACCAGGAACCTCAAACTCACGCTTTTGGGGCCAGTCAAGTAACTAAGTAGGACTGTGCCCATCCAGCTCCATGTCCTTGCCACAAGAGAATACGGGGAAAGCTAAGCCAAGCTCGTCTGTTCTGCTAAGAGCCAGCAAGGCTTAGCATGTTCACACCCCGACAGTCTACACCACTAGGGCTCTAACTTTATTAGCTCTTTTTGGTCTTTTAACTCTCTGCCATGGGCAGTTTGTTCTCTGCTTAAAGTCGTTTTGCCATGCTGACCTAAATGCAAATGTCTTGCCGGACCCAAGCGCAAAGACCTGTCTCCAAGTCTACCCTAACCTGGGTCTACCTTTTCACACAGAGCCCGATTGTCAAATATCAGTACAATCTCACTGGGCAAGGCTTGTTGGCTCCCACCTCTGCCCAGAGTTCCATAGCCAAAGGTGCTCATCAAGTTCCAACTCTCTGCTGCCCTCAACAGGCCCATGATCTCATTGCCTTGGCCATTTAGCCTGGTTAACTAGGTGGGTTCCAGGTGAGATAAAGAAGGTCTTGCAGTGTGAAATGGATCATGCATTTTGTGTCAAGTGATTTTGTGTGTTTGGCAGGTAATTTTTGTTTTGGTTGTGTGTGGGGAGGTGCTTTTTCCTTGACTTACTTTATTTTTTTAATTATTTTATTGAGGTCATAGTGGTTTATAATATTGTGTAATTTCAGGTGTATATTATTATGTATCAGTTTCTGTATAGACTGCATCATGCTCTCCATCAATGGTCTAGTTTTTATCCGTCACTAT